TTTTTATAATAATAACTAATAAATACACCTTATAATTAATAAAACTCTAAATATAAATGAAAATACAATAAAAATAAGTAAAAGTAGAAGTAACCAGTTTAAAGTTTAGGATAGTATCCATGTTTTGGTTTTTGGAGATTAAACATTTGGACTTGTTTGTGAGGAAGTTTATTTTGTATAGAACGTTGCAGAGATTTGTTTGTTGAGTTATTATTTTGAAATGGTTGTCATCAGTAATGCAGCTTTTGTTTGCTGGGATTGTTGGCACAATATTTCTTCTTCTGAGAAAACCTTTTCTGGGAAGAAGAGAAAGTTGGGCACGTGGTAAGATTAGTGTCTTTGTCTCGATAATTATAAATTTCAATAAAATCAAAAAAATAAGTGGACATATTTCAACAAAAAACAAAAAAGAGGGGGATCAAGATTACCCTTTCCCCGACCATATTATTAGTTTCTGAGCGCCCAAACGGATCCACAGGCCTAGCCAAGATTCCAGCCTCAAAAGAAAAAGTAAACACTTCTTTCCAAATCAAAAAGCATGTAATTGAGGAGACAATACGCCGAACCTTTGCCAATTGCCTAACTTTCTCTTTTTCTCACAAAGGACTTAGTTGGTGCCCTTTTTCAGACAAAGACCCCCAAAATTTCAAATCCTTAATCATACCAAACAATCCATAACCTCAACAATTAGTTTTATTTTTTTGGTGGCCAGGAGATAATTAGTTATTGAAGAATAAATCAACCTTTATTTCTCTTGCTCATTTATCCTTAACCTTTAAAATTGAACATTGGTTAATTAAACTTTTAAAAATTGCAACCATCAAGAACTTAGTTGAATAGAGAAGTTCAAGACAACCTTAAGTGATCACCTCAACATCGTTAAAGGGTTACTCACCTAAAGACATGGAGTTTAATCCTCACCCTTTCTCTTTTCCCCCTACTCCGAATTAACCATGTTCATAAAAAAAAAAACTTAGTTGAATAAATATATATTATATATAAAATTTTAACTTAATTTCAAAATTAAAAGTTTAAATCTTATTAAAAGTTTAAATTTTTGTTATATTAAATATTTAATATGAAATATTAAGAACGTTGTAAAATTTTAATTTAACATCATTTTCTTTTCTTTTATATTTTTCAGCTAAATTTTAATTTAACCTGTAAATATCAAATTCAGCTAAATTTGATCAAAACTCACTTGAACTTTTCTTAACTTGGTCAAACTTAGTA